CTACTTCATAACCATAATTCTGTTACTGTTATAAATCATAATGAAAATATTTTTGGCGACAGAGGTTTGCCAAAGGGGTCATAACCCATAGGTTGAGAACTGATGTTCTAAACTAACACATTTTCCCTTTTGTTTCAGTTTCCTCTGGCTTACATTGAGGTAAGAAACTTAACTGTTTCACACTCAGAAAGAGATCAGTCCGCTGAAAGTAACTGGGTGCTGGAATGTTGTAGCAGTGCTATGGGTTGCAGCCTTCCACCATTCCAGATGATTGGTTCATTATATCCCTCTTTACCTTCATTCCTCCCTACCCCCCCAAAATATTAATGCTAACAAGTTCCCGAATGCTTCCATCATGAACACAGTGGTCATAGAGGTATTGCTGTAACTAGTATTATATTTACTCAGAAAATTTACAAACTGTTTCAAGGACCCGAAAACAAATCGCATCATGCAGTGGCGGGATATTAACACAGAGAACGGGCTCAAGCAACTGTCCTTCAGCCTGTCATCTGAGCCCATTCTAGGCTCCTACAAAATAGTGCTAGAAAACCAATCAAGATCAAAGAAAGAGCACTACTTCACCGTGGAAGAATACGGTATGGCTTGGGAAGATTGAAAAGGGAAAGTAGATGTCATAAGTTTTTGGTCATCATAGGATGAATTCTTTTGAACTCATTGAGTTCCAATGGCTAAGGCTGGGCTTCATCTGACTTTAGCTAGGCTAACCACCTAGCAACATGGGACTTCCAGAAAGTTCTGAAGTTCTGGGACTTTCAGAAGCCAATTGTTTGCTTTTTCTTATTTTGCAAAACCTGATATAATCTATGACCACTCAGCATTCTAACTCTATGGGGTGGCGGGGGGGGGGGGCGTTACCTTAATAACATGAAATCACCCTTTCTTGGCAGAAGCTGATCATTTAGACGACTAGAAATGTCATTTCTCCCCTGAATTTCTCCTCTCTTTTCCAATAGTGCTTCCCAGATTTGAAGTTCAAGTAAAGGTCCCGAAGGCCCTTTTCATTAAAGATGAAAAATTGAAAGTGACTGTGTGTGGAGTGTGAGTTTCCTGTGTTTAACCTTCTATCCTTTTGGACACAAAACAGCCAGGATGTAGACTCCCTGTAGACTATGCCAAAATGCTAAGGCTGGGCCCTTCCCTCCTGGCGTGTTTCCCCTATGGCTTTCATTTCCTCTTCCAGTCCCTGACTGCTCTGCATGGATGAATCCTTGATCATTCATTGCATATGTACTGATGTTAATTCTGATGACACCAATGACAGAATCAATATATGTGGCAGTAGAGAGTTCCTACATCTGGAGACGGGAAGGTACCTAAAAAGCTCTCCTGACCCAAGTGTAGAGAGCACAGGCACTAAATATAGCACTGTGCTGACCTATTATGGGTTGACAGAAAGAGCAGAGAAACAAGAGCTCCTTATATGACTTCAGTTCCAATCAATGCAGCCCAAGTTTTAGTTTCAAACATATCACATTTCTGTTTCTATTTTCTGTACCTGATAAATAAGGATCCCGTGCCACAGCACAAGAAACTGCTCTTTAAGTCTGGAAGCACAGGAAGTTAAACCGTGCTAGAAGGAATTTGCAAAGGTGCCTGCGTCAAACAAGAGACATGCCTTTGCTCACACTTGCTTGTTTTTAAAATAAACATGCTCAAAAGAAAATTGATAGAAAGAAGGAAATTATTGAGGAGGTCTGTTAGAATAGGTCTGAGTCTTGTTGCCATTTTTCCATTCATCGCAGCCCCGGTCATTTACTAGCTAAGGATCCTGATCAGGTCGCTTAACCTTTTCAGAGCTACAAGAGGGAGAAAATCGTATCTCCCAGAGGCTCTTAACAGAGCTAAATTGTTAACACATCTAGTAAGACAGTGTCAAGTGGTACTCCATATTTGCTGTCACTATGAAACTATACAGTCAATCTACAGTTACAGTTTGACAGTGAGGACTAATGGGTGGGAAGAGTATGTGTCTCTGTTTTAGGATGACCCTTGGTGTCTCTGCATTTATCTGTGACAGATACACCTATGGGAAGCCTGTACCAGGACATGTAAAGATACGTACGTGCCATAAATATCCGCTGTACAGAAGGCAGATAGAGACTCAATGCAAAGAGTCCAGTTCCCAGGTAAGTAAAAGTGTTCAAAGGCCTGTTTTCAATATCCAGGGTTAACTGACACAGAAATACAGACAGCAAATTCGAGAAGAAATGCACACTCAGATATTGATAGAGGTTGTTCTGTGGACTACAGACCTTGGGACCTCGGGGTGTAGCTCTGTTGTGGAACACTAACCAGGCATGTGTGCAATCCCCAGCACCCCCACTACTGACAATAGTGACAGTCCTAGTACCTACTATTGCTAAAGAAATCTTTCAACAACTTAGAGCTAAACTGGGCCACCAAATTTATTTTTTAATATATATTCCTTGAACAAATTAATAGGTCTATGACATTTTCATACAAAATATCATATATTCTAGCCATATTCCCTAGTCTCATTGCCACTTCAACTCTTGTGTCCTCACTCCTGTGTCCTTTCTTCTTCTTGTATGGCCCTCAATACTTTCATGGCTTATGGATTATTCTCTAATTGGCACATATAGAAATTAAGTAAATTGTACAAAACTATAGGCTTCTTTCCCATACATTCATACAGGTGTATCATGGACTTGATTATCTCCTTCAGTATCTATACTGCTCTCTCCTTCTGTCCTGCCAGACCCTTCATCTTCCCAAATGGAAGAACACATACGTCACAGTGTTCTTTGTTTTACCCTAACATGACAGGATGTGTTTGAGTCTGGTTTATTTTGTGAAAGGTGACAACATCCTTGCCTGTAACATTGTCTGGTCCAGTTTGGATTATTCATTCATCAGCTATGGACTCATTCATTTGGGAATCCCATTCAGGACAAGCATACATGTGGACACATGTCTTGGTGCACTGCGACAGATTCCTTTCATATATCCCCGATAGATGATCATATGGGTCTTCGACCTTGCATTTTCTGAAGAGCTTCTATACTGACTTGTGGAGTGGCTGTTCTAGGGTGTACTCTCACGTGAGCACAGTGTATGAAGTGTAGAGTCTATAAGGTCTCTGTGCTCACAGATAAGCTTTAGGGAAACAGGATTGTTAAACACACAGGGTTGTCTCCTCAATGGAGGACATGTCCACCCAAAAAACTGGAAAAGGATGTGGTTAATATTCTGGTGGTCTGTGTTGTCTGTAGGGCCAGGACACACCTGAATCTTCCAGACTACTGTGTTTATCCCAGACTCTTCCTCTCTAGACCTTTATCTTGAGCACTGTTTCTCAGGCAATAGAACCATCCTTATGAAGATGTCATGTGTACTTTACAGCTGCTTAGCTGACTTCTGTCCTATCTGTAGGACTAGGCCACTCCTGTCTCCCACAGACTCGTATGTTTATATCATCATTTTCCATAGGCCCTTGGCTGAGCCGTGTTTTTCACTCAATAGAAGCCATTTTTTATGGGAGATGTCACATGGACTTTACAAATGGAGCAGAGCCTAGGTGACCTCTGTGCTACCTGTAGGGCTGGGTCACACCTGACTCACAGACTCATGTTTATCTCAGTCATTCTTCCTAGAGGTTCATCTCAAGCACTGTTTCTCAGTTACTAGAATCCCTCTTAAAGAGTTTCACTGTGATCATGTTTTAAGCTTTGTTGTTTGTTTGTATGTGGGATTGAGTTCATTTTATCAGGAAACTTTTTTCCAAAATTGTGCTGTGTTTAAATATGCCTAAAATCAACTGCCCACTGTCAGACTCAAGAAGTTTGAGCCAACCTGGGCTACTGAGTCATGTTCAACTGGATTTCCTTGTTGCCTTACATGGATTGTTATTCTGCTCATTCTGGTGTTTACATACACTCCCACAGGGAGTGTCTCCTCACAACCTCACCAGCATTGTATTTTGCTTTCTTTACATTAGCCACTCTGTCTATGGTGAGAAGAATTTCCATAGTTTGGGGACTGAATTTTCCTGTGTCTAAGGATGTCAAAATTATTTTTTCATATTGTTTTAGAGGTTTGTACTTGTTATGCAGATTGTTTCTTCAAGTCACATCAATCGCCCATGGAATAAATCATTTTTATTGGTCTTACATATTTTAAGTTTTATATACATTTTTCCTAATTTTTAACTTTTTGAGAGTTTCATGAGAAATGTGTTTAAGTCATTTTTTCCCCTTTATCCCGCCTCTCCAATGCTTCCCACCTCTCCCCAACTCTCTCTCAATTTTATGACATCTTCTTCTGGAACTGTTATTGTTACACATATATTAAATATTGTGTGTGTGGTGGGGGGGAAAGCTCACATATTCATCCTGCTGAGTTGATGTAGTATTGCTCCTATGAACATATACTTAAGGATGACCACATGACATTCTATAACCCGCCAGGGCACTCTGTGAGAAGAATGGTTTCTATCTCTGAGCAGTCATTGATTACCTGTAGCTCTTGATCTTGGAGTTGGGCTTTATGAGTCTTCTCCATCCACCACACTGGCATGTCAACTGGCGTTACCATTATGCAAGTCTTGTTTAGGCAACTACATTGTTGAGATTCTAATGAATGTGGTTTCCCTCTTGTATCTGAATGACACTATTTTGCAACAGGCATTCTGGTCTTTTACAATCTTTCTGATCGTTATTCCATGATTTTCCATGATCCTTCCACGCAGTGGTTATGTTGGAGATATTTCAGGTGGGGTTGAGCACATCATAGGCACTTATTTTCTGCATTTTGAGGAGTTGTGGTCTATAATGTTCTGGATTGAAAATTAAGATGGTTTCCTGAAGGGTGAGATCTACATATATCTGTAAGTATAAGCATAAGTCTTTGAAATATAATAAGGAACTATACTGGTTCAAGAAAATGGCAGGGGTGGCTTTTCCCCCTAGAGTCTATGTGACTGTTGAAGTTGTCCATTTATTATTGGTTTAACATTTATGTTTTGGATGAATGTAGAAATTTGTTTGTTGGTTTTAAGTTTTCTAAATAGTTAATGCAGTACATGTTTTTAAAGTATTAGTTTATAAAATATTCCAAATCTCTCTAATGTCTATATAATGTTTCCTTGCAAACTCCTAATTCTGTTAATTCGGGTATTTTCTTTCTGTCTTAGGTTAATTACACAAAAGTTCTGTTGACCTTATATTATTTTTTATTTAAATTCTTTAATTACTACTCATATTCACATATCTATCACCGCCCAATTCCCTCACCCTCCCATCCTCCCATGTTCCCCACCAATCCCCAAACCCATCCCCCAACTCCTCATCAGGGATAGTGAGGCCCACCACAGGGGACCTTCAAAGTCCATCATATCATTAGGGGGAGAGCCTAGGCTCTCCTTGCTGTATCTGGGCAGCAATAGTATCCCTCCATAGGGAAGGGTCCCAAAGTCCATTTGTGTTCCACTGTTAGAGGTCCCATAGACTGCCTTGGCTTCCTAGCTGGCAAACACATTCAGAGGGCCTGGATTTATACGATGCTGTTTACCCAGCTTTATGACTAGGGTCTCCATGCTCTCACTAGTTCTGGTCAACTGTTTCTGCGAGTCTCTCTAGAAACATCTTGGCTACTTTGTTCATCCCTCCTCACTCTCAGAAACTGGATTCCAGGAGTGTGGTTCAGTGCTTAGCTGTGGGAGCCTGACTCTGCTTGGAACAACTACTGGATGAAGGCTCTAGGAATGGGAACCAAGGTAGACATCAATCTCATTACTGGGGAAGGGCATCCATGGCATCCTCTCCACCATTGCTTAGATTCTTAGTTGGGGTCATCCCTGTGGATCCCCTAACATTTCCCCTGTGCCAGGCCTCTCCCCAAACATGTACTGTCTCCCTCTATCAAGGCATCTCCTTTCTTGCGCTCTTTTATTCCTCCCCTGTCTTAGTCCTCTTGTTCTCCTGCCCTCTCCCCTTCTTCTCTTCCCACCTGTTTCCTCTTCCCCCTACCCCCATTTGCTTAGGGGTTCTTGTCCCCTTCCCTGTCTCCCAGGGACTATGTAATCTTCCCTTGGTGTCCTCCTTGTTTCTTAGCTCCGCTGGCAGTGTGGATTGTAGATTGGCAATCCTTTGCTTTATGTCTAAAAATCATATATGAGTGAGCAATACCATTTTTATCTTTTTGTGACTGGGTTACCTCACTTAGGATGGTTTCTTCTAGTTCCATCCATTTGCCTGAGAATTTTGAGATTCCATTGTTTTTTTTCCCCCCCACTGAGTAGTACTCCATTGTGTAAATGCACCACATTTTCTCTATCCATTCTTCAGTTGAGGGGCATCTAGACTGATTCCAGGTTCTGGCTATCACAAGCAATGCTGCTATGAACATACTTGAACAGATTTCCTTACTGTATGAGTGTGAATTCATTGGGTATATGCCCAAGAGAGGAATTGCTAGGACTTGAGGTAGGCTGATTCCCATTTTCCTGAGAAACCACCATACTGATTTACAAAGTGATTGTACAAGTTTGCACTCCCACCAGCAATGGAGGAGTGTTCCTCTTTCTCCACATCCTCTCCAGCATAGATTGTCATTGGTGTTATTAATTTTAGCCATTCTGACAGGAGTAAGATGGTATCTCAGAGTGGTTTTGAGTTGCAATTTCCTGATGGCTAAGGATGTTGAGCCCTTTCTCAAGTGACTTTCAGCCATTTTAGATTCCTCTGTTGAGAATTCTCTATTTAGTTCTGCACTCCACTTTTTAATTGCATTGTTTGGTGTTTTGGTGGCTAGCTTCTTGAGTTCATTGTATATTTTGTTAATTAGCCCTCTGTCAGTTGTTGGATTGGTGAATATCTTTTCCATTCTGTGGGCTGCCGTTTTGTCTTGCTGACTGTATCCTTTGCTTTACAGAAGCTTCTCAGTTTCAGGAGGTCCCATTTGTTAATTGTCATACTCAATGTTTGTGCTTCTGGTGTTATATTCAGAAAGCAGTCTCCTGTATCAATTTGTTTAAGGGTACTACCTACCTTCTCTTCTAGGAGGTTCAATGTGGCTGAATTTATGTTGAGGTCTTTGATCCATTTGGACTTAAGTTTTGTTGCATGGTGATAGATATGGATCTATGTGTAATCTTCTTTAAACATGATAAAAGCAA